CATCTATTCAGTGTAATGGCTCATGTCCTTCGTGAGGATTTTATCGCTATGATCTGTCTGGATTTGAAAGGTCGTCAGGGAACTTTTTCTACCGATTAGCGAGTTAAAACGTGCATGTTTTGTGTACCGCTCCTTCACTTACGACGCATACACCGTCAGCTGGAGGCCTAACACGAATTTAGCGCTATAGCGTGTTGTTTCGGAAAGGCTAGTTTTACTGACTCTAGTAAATCTTGCGCAAGATATTTGCGTAAACCATATTTGATTGATAATCTTTTTTTTTTGCCCTATGATTGTTCTTTTAGCAGCGGTTGAAACGACCACCAACTTACATTTACTTTCTGCGTCGACTGCCATGTTACATATCCGTTTCTTTGCTTCTAAAAGTCCTCCATGAATTAAATATTGTTTAAACGATACTTTCCCATTACAATTGCGTGTTACTTTTTGCTCGCCAGTATGGATTAGATTTTCTTAGATGAAATGCCATTTTCCAGTAAACAACGCAAATTTTATGACATAGATCTACCTCAATAAAACATAGGCATGCTACGCATGCAGGAGTTATTTTTTTGGATATGTGGGTTGAAATGGAACACTTAGTAACTGCTGCTGGTGTCTGAATAGTTGTTGGCAATAATAACCTGCTTTGACACCATGCTTCCTGGCTTCCTGCCATCCCCTCCAAAGCCCTAATTTAAACTCGTTACGCAACGCTCTCTCTCCAACGTTGCGTGACGAGACCAAACAACCACCTGCTTGTAGGCTATAATAATGCTGACTACCGCCTCTTCGTCAGAGACAAAAATGTAATTATTATTCTGGCCGTAAAGGGCCACAATCAATAATTCCATTTGGTTTTACCTGAGCAGAAAAATGCACAATAGGCGTTACATAGCACTATTTAATTGGCGTAAAGCAATGTGGTGGACATAGCCAAGGAACGAGGCTGAGTTTTGACATCGAGTGTCAGCACAAGTAACCCAGGCTCACTTTTTGTCAGTGTTACGTACACGTGGTTACAGAGGGAACATATGGGGCGAGGTTTAGGTCTGGAAATTTGCTTGAAAATGGAATTAAAAATCGATGAAACTTTCCATGTGGCGATTTGTTGTTGTCCTTAATATGTACACGAAGTTTCGGGAAAATTACTCTTCTTCACCTTTCCTTCATGTGTCGCTGAACCGCAAATCCGGCCAGAATATAAGCACCGTGTAGCCTCTTGTTCAGTAGCAGATAGTTGCCTCAAAATATTCTTCCATATAATTTTGCAGTGGAAAGCTCTATTTTATCTCCAACAGCCTCTGGACAAAGATGTTTTCCGGTCTCCATTCTTCGAGCAAGTGAAAATGAACTGAACGAAGAAAAGTGTTGTTTTCCAAAGCATAACAACGCAGGCTTCTTAATTGGTTGTTGCCTATCCGAACTTTGCCCTGTGCGTGATAAAATGCAGGTTGTTTACAGGGAGTTGACCCGCAATGGGGTCCAAGGTAGATAAAAGCAAATTTAATTGGTAGACAGCGTCTAAGCACGTGAGAGTTGCGTGGAAAATCGACCGACTGTACCATTATGTTCCTTGAGAAATTTTTCAGTGAGGCAGAATTATGTCATAAAATTTACGTTGTTTACTGGAAAATGGCATTTCATCTGAAAAAGTCTAGTCCATACTGGCGAGTAAAAAGTAAACACGCAATTGCAGCGGGAAAGTATCGTTTAAATAACATTCCATTGACGGAGAACTTTTAAAAGCAAAGAAAAGATATTTAACAGGGCAGTCGACACAGAAAGTAAATAAAACTTGCTGGTCCTTTCAACCTTTACAACGTGAGCAGCCACTGGGCAAAAAAACAAGATCATCAATCAAGTTGAATTTATGCAAATGCCTTGCGCAAGTTTTACCAGAGTCAGCAAGACTAGCCCTTCCAAAACAACACACTCTGGTGCTAAATTCGTGTCAGGCCTTTAGCTGACGGTGTGTGTGTTATAAGTGAAAGAGCGGAACACAAAACATGCACGTTTTAAGTTTTAATTTGTAGAAAAAATTTCCTGACGACCTTTCTGATCCCGACAGCTAGGTCATAACCATAACGTCCTCACAAAGAACAGCCATTATATTAGGTAGATAAGCTCACAATTCTTATAGATGTCATTCTTACCTCGTTCTTTAAGCGAAATAAAAATGGAATTTATGTATAGCAATGAAATATCCCTCAGTCGAGAAAACGACAGAAAGTAAGCGCAGGACTGTGTCAACACTTGGTAAACTTCACCTTTTCTTTAATTATTCTTCGACTTCAAAAGCGCGGAATTACGGGAACACTAGTTTAACGGCCCTCTCGTTATATCATTATTCGACTTCGTGAGTGCGGGACTGCGGATGCACTAGTTTAACGGTCATAGCATTTCATCATTCTTCCACTTCAGGAAAGCTTGAATGCGGGACCACTTGTCCAAATATCCTCTATTTTAATATTATTTTTCGACATCAGGACCACGCGAGCAATCCATTCATAACAGTCAATAGCGGCCGGGTAATCTGAAGTTGCTCCTATCAACATCTCAAGCAGTATTTGATTCAAAATTTTTCTCATGTTCCACTCAGTCTCCTTTAGAACGAAGAAGAACCATAGTGATACATCGATCTCAACTCCGCTGCTTTCCCAACACGACTGATACGTTTCTTTAATTCGCGAACCGCTCTCACCGAGTCACGCTTTGATTCGCTGAAATTTGAAGACCTGTCAAACAACCGTTTAGCAAGAACGCTCTGATTGGTGCGACATCGAAAAATACTACAATCTGAGTGGTTTGTGATACACCAAAAAATCGCGCCAATCACATTGCTTTGAGATACACCAAAAAAAGGTGTGCCAATCAGAATGCTTAGAGATACACCAAATTGCACTGATCAGATTACACTACACCAAAATACACCAATCTATACGCTAACATATAGTTTTTTTTTTTTAAAAATAACTCAAAAATATTTCACAAGGGACAGAATGGTACGGTTGGTTAATTTTCCACGCAACTCTCACGTGCTTAGACGTTTTCTACCAATAAAATTCGCTTTTAGCTAACCTGGACTTTACCCCATTGCGTGTCAATTTTCTGTAAACAACCTGCATTTTATCACGTATTTCGCACGCAAAGGGCAAAGTCCAGATAGGCAACAACCAATCAAGTAGCCCACCTTATTATCCTTTGAAGAATGATACTTTCTCTTAGCTCAATCTACA